TAAAATAAAATGAAGGGTTGTACTTTAAGAATTTTTTTATATAATTTTATTTATTATTTAATCATTAATATATTTTTTTAAAATTATATAAATATATTTATTTATTTAATAATATATAAAAATTATATTAAAAAATTCTTAAAGTACAACCCTTCATTTTATTTTATTTTTGATAAATGCACAACCCTTTATTTACTAATTCCTTGTCCAATACCTAAATATTAGCATTATTAATTCTGAAAAAGAAGCTTCTGTTAAATTTTTTTAATTATAAAGTAATAACATGCGTCAATGTGTCATCTCTTTCACTGTTACAGCCTACAAATAGGAACAGGGGATGAAAAGAGAGAGAGGAGACAGCTCTTTCTTTTAGATCTGCGCTTTTGTTTTCACCTTCTTTACTCGCGTTTTGGACTGAACCTCTGCACTCTATCTCTGTTATGCATTTCACCGGAAGTTTGGCGTTTGCTCGTCATCGGAATTTCTGCCGTTTAATGCTTCGGGAGCTCCGGTGAAGTAATTCCAGTCAGGTTTCCGCCCGCTGAGATATGTTCAAGTCGGCGAGATGGAGGAGCGAAAAGAACAAAATCAAAGCAGTTTTCAAGCTGCAATTCTATGCGACTCGAGTAATCGCATTTCTCATATTTTGTCTCACCTTTTTCACATTTAGTCTGGTTTCATTAGTTGAGTTGAATACAATGAGCTTGACCTGTTTAGGTTGTTTCTAAGTTCGGTTGTTTGAATTCCGAGAAACGCAGAAGGAAATTTTAATTTGTGTTTTGTTTTCTTTGCTTCTGGAATTGATTGAGCTTTAAAATTTGCTTTGTGAAATCAGGTGCCGAGGTCAAATGTGGATGGATTGACAATATCTGTGGTTCCTGGAGATGTGGGAAAGCCAACAATAAGATTAGAGAAGGCTATGGTTCGAGAAGGATGCTGTCGGTGGGGAAATCCGGTCTATGAGACTGTTAAATTTGTAAGGGAGCCACAAAGTGGGAAGATCAATCAGAAAATATATCATTTTATTGTGTCAACGGTGAGAACTGTGGTGGATTGAGATTTCATTGTTGTCAAGTTGTTCTTTGTGTGATCTAACACTGCCTGTTGTTGTAGGGATCGGCGAAAGGTGGTTTGATTGGTGAAATTTCCATTGATTTTGCTGATTATGTTGAGTCATTCAAGGCTTCTGCTCTTTCTCTTCCTTTTAAGAATTCGAACTCTAAAGCAATTCTGCATGTTAGTGCTCTCAATTTCTCTCTTTGTCTCAGATTTATCAGTTTTAGAATAGTCTTTGTTTCTTTGGTTGCCATTGAACTTGAAAGATATGTTGATTGATGTGTGTAATTGAACTTTAGCTCTTGCTTTTCAACAGGTTTCAATACAGAGGGTGCAGGAAAATGCTAATCAAAGGTATATGGAAATGAATTTGTCACTTGTTTGTTGAAGTTTTCAATTTATAGGAGACTGTATTTATGAGATTTTGATGGTGGGATTGACCTTACCATGTTCGAATGGTATTGCAGAGAGGCAGAGGAAGAGGAAGAAAGTGAAGATGCAAGCTTTAAATCCCAAGATAGGAGCTTGAAGGCTCATTTAAGCATTGTTGATGCAGAAGAAAGCATTACAGATGATGCCAATGAAGTAAGTTTTCACTCAATTTGAATTTCTTTTTTTAATTATTTTTGTTATTACATGTCAGCAGTTTTCATTTATAGTTGCAGCAAAACTTTAGCAGTTTTCAAATTCAAACTGTTTGTTATAATTATTATTTTCACAGGATGGACCTTACAACAAAACCAGCCACAATGTTGAATGTAATTTGAATCGTGGAGTGTCCTGTGGATCTGACATTACCATTTCAAGTTCTGACAATAGCTCTGGATTCAATACTCCACGAGAACTTGGAGTGAGAAATAATAATGTCCATCAAGACCCTACTAACCATCCTTCATCTCTAAACCACACCCCAGTGCCTCATATACCAACAGAAAATGCCTTGAAAACAACCTTTGAAGAGAATCACAGATCCCAATGGGAATGGTTAGCAGTTTCCGACCATGGAATGAGCATTGATGAGTCTACCAATAGTTCTCAAGATACCTTTCCAGAAGAAAGGTCAGAACATGCTTCAGATAAAGAGATTGAAAAACTCAAGGGTGAGCTTGTTGCCTTGAACAGGCAAGTGGATGTGTCGGAGTTGGAGCTGCAGACCCTCAGAAAGCAAATTGTAAAAGAGAGCAAAAGGGGGCATGATCTCTCACGAGAAGTTGTTTGCTTGAAAGAGGAAAGGGATGCCGTCAAAGTGGAGTGTGAGAAACTGAAGTCCTTTCAGAAGCGAATGGATGATTCAAAAGCAAAAGGCAGGTTGCAGCTTGAGTGCGGGGACCCCTTGGTTATTCTTGAAGAAATCAGGCAGGAATTGAGTTATGAGAAGGACCTGAATGTCAATCTGCGGTTACAATTGCAGAAGACACAGGAATCAAACACTGAGTTGATTCTGGCTATACAAGACCTTGAAGAAATGTTGAATGAGAAGGATGGGAAGATATCAAATCCTCCAAGCAAATCAGGGCCACAGGAGAATGCTGCCTCAAGAAGTGATACAGATGAAGATGAAGAGCAAAAGGCTTTGGAAGAGCTTGTTAAAGGGCAGAGGGATCCCAAGGAAACCTATCTGCTTGAGCAAAAGATCTTGGATCTCAATAGTGAGATAGAGATCTACAGGAGAGATAAAGATGAATTAGAGATGCAGATGGAGCAGCTTGCACTTGACTATGAGATTCTGAAGCAGGAAAACCATGACATGTCATATAAATTAGAGCAGAGCCAGCTGCAAGATCAACTGAGGATGCAGTGTGAGTGTGCATCTTCCTTTGCTACTGTAAATGAACTTGAGAAGCAAATTGACAGCTTGGAAACTGAGCTCAAGAAGCAGTCAAAAGAATTCTCTGACTCATTAGTGACTATAAAGGAACTTGAAACTCACGTCAAAAACTTGGAGGAAGAACTTGAGAAGCAAGCACAAGTCTTTGAAAGTGATCTAGAAGCTGTAACACATGCCAAAGTTGAGCAGGAGAAGAGAGCCATCAGAGCAGAGGAAGCCTTGCAACTGTCAAGATGGAAAAATGCAAATACAGCTGAAAGGCTACAGGATGAACTGAGAAGGCTCTCTATGCAAATGGCCTCTACATTTGATGCTAATGAGAAGTTGGCCGCAAAAGCACTGACAGAAGCCACTGAACTACGCATGCAGAAAAATCAGCTGGAAGAACTGCTCGTGAAAGCTCATGAGGAGCTCCAGTTAGCTAGAGAGGACTATGAAGCAAAATTCTGTGAGCTTTCCAGCCAAGTAAATTCAAAATCAGATCAGATAGAACAGTTGCTGGAGGATATTGATGATAAATCGAAGCAGCTCCAACATCAAAGGCAGCATGAGGAAGAAGTTAGTGGGGCTTTGTCCAAGGAGATTATCAGCCTAAAATCTGAGATTGAAAAGTTGGCAGCAGAAAGAAAAATACTCCATGAAAGAGCAGAACAGAGACAAAATATAAGCCTTGAGTTGAAAAGGATGAAAACATCACTAATAGAAACAGAGGCACTGGTGCAAAGATTAAATGTGGAAAGAAATCAGCTGGTTAGTACAATTGCTTTGCTGAAGAAGGAAGCAGAGAAGTCATTAGATGAGTTGCAAAGAATGAAGCATCTCAAGGATCAAAAGGAGACTGCTGTTAACTTCTTAGAATCAGAGTTGGATTCACTCAAGGCTCTGTGTAATGAATTGAAGCATTCCCTGTCTGAAGACGAGGTTGAGAAAGAAAAACTTACAAAGCAAGTGTGCCAGTTAAAGGATGACCTTAAAAAGAAGGAAGATGCACCCACTGGCATGGACAAGAGGCTGAATGATAATAGTGGAAGAGCAAAGTTTTCTGATGCAGCAAAACCAACTTCGAGGAATAATAGAGCTGCTGCAGTCCCTCATGGCTCAAAGGAGGTTGCAAGCCTGAGGGAAAAAATAAAACTGCTTGAGGTAATTTACAACTCCAAGTAGTAACCACAGCATACTCTGATTATTTTCCCTTATCAGAATAGGAATTTCTGTCATTTAAATATATGTTATACAGACTTGACTTGCTCAGCTTTTTCCAGTTATCTGCTGTTGTTATGGTGGAGAAAATGCAGTTCATTCGTGATTATTTTTTAATGTCAGGGACAAATAAAGTCAAAGGAAATTGCTTTGGAAGCATCCGCAAATTCATTTCTGGAGAAGGAATATGATCTTCTGAAGAAAATTGACGAGTTAGAAAGCAGAGTGGAGGAACTCAATCAGCAATGCTCCACTTTCTCTGAATATCAATTTCAAAAGGTTAGCAATACCACTACAGATCATGAATTTGTTTGGCTCACTTTCAACTTAACACCTCCATTACATGTAAGTGTATATGTTGCTAAGGGTCTCCTTATTTGCTTACGAACATAATCAAACTGGAAAACAGGAATCTAAAGATATAACCGAGGTAACATCAGATGGTGGTGTATCTGAGGAATTGAGAGGAACAGCTGAATATCCAATTTCTGTCAGAAGGTATGGCTTGGAAAGAATGTAATATTTTCTTTGAGTTAGTTTTCTTCTTCTATCTTTGTTTGGTAATAGTTATTTTGTGAGGGTATGACATTGTGGAGGAATTGCTGAGAAAAAGAAGCTGCCAACCAATAATTACAAGTTTTCTCTCTTATCTGCAGCAACAATGGCGTTTTACTGGAGGAAATACCAAAGGCCTCAATTGCTAATAATAGAGACTACATCCAGGAAGAAGTATTAGCTGAGTTAGCATTGCTTAAGGAAACAAACAAATCCATGGAAATTGAACTGAAGGAGATGCAAGAACGGTACTCAGAAATAAGCCTCAAATTTGCAGAGGTTGAGGGTGAAAGACAACAACTTGTGATGACAGTCCGAAACCTCAAGAATGCCAAGAAGAGCTAAAATATTTGTTTCATTCATAACCTATATAGTCCACGTGTAGCCCTAGCAGTTTGATTTGGCCACATACACACACAATACATAGATGCAGTGGTTCCTTTTGAATGAATAAATTAAGTTTGTACAAATTAGGTAAAAATTTGCCCACAAGTTTTTGAATGAATGTCATTATCTCATCTTTTATGGTAAAGATCATAGAAATTAGAAACCATTCTTCTTTGAGATACGGTGAGGGTGGGGGGAGGTTTAGATGAAATTACCTTAATACCTTGAGTATTCAAAAGTGTAAATAGAAGTAAAAGGTTTCGAGTTCGATTTACATATGATATAAAGAATGAAAAATAGTTAATCTTTTATTATACAAGTAAGATAAAAAATAATATATCATTAGTTCATTGGGACCAAACAGAAATCTTTTGGGCTATTAGAACTATTAACGGAATGGTCCAACACATGGCTCAATTGAACTCTTATGGGCCTCCAGGGTCTCAGCAATAAGCCAATTTGGTATAGGAAAATTCCTAAACGGTTTCATTTTTTTTTTTTTTTTCTCGAGAAATGTAATTGCATTTTACGGTATCATATATTCCTATGCTAATATTTTCGACTTCTTTTCAAATTACTTTTTATTGTTCAAGTACTAATTATTCTTTCTTGAAGTGTCATTGAATTTTATTCATTACTGTGATTGATGCTGATGTAATATGCTCAAATTTATTCTTTAATAATCAAGAATATGATGTGTTAATATGTTTGAGAATTTGCGTCCATGCTTTTCAGGTTTAAATTCATTGGATAAAATAACATTATAAGATGTTTATGCCCCATGTTGTTAACCTGAAAAATCCTTTCTTTGTGAAAGTTTGCATCTTTAACGTGTAGGTTGGTCGTGATTTCTGTCTGTGTCTCTGTCTTGCCTTATCCCATTTGACAAGGTTAACCAAGTCTACGATAGCAGATGGTTGAAAGCAAATTGCCATCAAGAAATTCATGCAGTTCAGAGATGGTGATGGTGTCTCCCCTATTGCCATCCTGGGATTCATGTTGCTTTGAGAGATTTCACATGAGAATGTTGTGAATGTGTGCATTAATCATGAAGACATATTGATGTATCTGTCTTGTGATTGTACCTAGACAATGTTAACCATTGCCATCAATGCGTACACAGGTAAATGATTGTGGAGAACTGAACAGTAATGGGTCAGGGTGAAGAACAAGAAATTGTTAAAATTCCGGATTTTGCATCTTCAAGGATTATCAAGCTCCATTGAAGCCATCGTCAGAAAATAGGGTGGTTATTGGAATATTTTCTTTCCGTCCATTTTCCTTTACTCTTTTCTCACCTACCAAACAGAATGTCAAAGATTTGGTTCTCTGGTATTTTCACTAACCTCTAGAAAAACGTAGGAGCCAGTCATACATTCTTGGGATTAATCACTAAAGACAGCAAAAAATGGGCCCTTTGGCGACATAGCTGACATGGTCAGTGTTCTAGGGTGTCTAATGTTGACCAAATCCCTTCCAATTGTCATTAATTAATACAAGATTACTTCATATTTATGATAAAAAAAAATGCAAAATTGTGACTCAGATGGTTCTTACTCTAATCAATGACAAATAAAACAGGACAAAAAATAGGATTTCTTCTTTGTAGCAAGATTTGTGCAAGATTCAGATTCTTCAAAAATTTTTCATTTGCAATTGTATACAAATTTTCTTTTTCATATTTTGTAAAAGATCTTTCAGAAGAAAAAAAAAAAAGGTGTATCTCTAAAGATTGGTGAAGAATTTCTACAATTTCCGATTGATCAATCCATTTACTGTGATCAGAGCTATTATGAGGGAGTGATCAAAATGGGGCTTCACCTCCAAACTTAGTACATCATCTCCCAACAGGATTCCTGAACAAACTTGCTTCTGCTTTGCCTGGAACAAAAAATTCAATCCTCATTGTCTTTCTCATTCATTACATCGTGAGGTTCAATAAACAAGAAGAAAACTTGATCATGTACTGACCTCTGCAACGACAGCTCCATCTATGTCTACAATCCTGAATGCTGCCTTGTGAGCTAAGCTAACTATCCAGTACTTACAATGTCCCACTCTAACTTCACAAGCTAAATCTCCCATCAAAACTTTGCTATACTTTCTGACTTGAAACCATGGCTTCCCTGTGTTTGGTCTGTATCCATCCCAACGTCCAAAAATTCTCAATCTCTGCAAAACCAAGACCCAGATCAGCTAAAACCTTTCACATGGATTTAAACCAGATATAACAATATACAGGTATATGGTCTTTAGTACCTTTCTTTTTATAGTACAGAGGACTTTCCCTTGCCCGTCCATGAGAAAAACTTCACTGCTGCATTTGCTGTCATAGTTATCAACACGATAAACAATCTCCCCTTTTGAATCAAAGACTGTGCAACCATTTGCTTGGTACACCAGTGATTTCATCCATATTGTGAATGTTTTTCTTTCTGAACACATACAGGATGCTTCAATGGGTGCTGCTTCAGGATAAACCTTAGCCATTGAAGCCCAAAATGGAAAAGGCTTTTGGAGGATAAAACTAAAGATGCTCACAGGGTCCAGAATGGCATATTTATGATTCCTGAAATTTGGCTGCCACTTCAGGCATTAGATAATATTGCAACGTGACAGTAGTGGCACAGCCATTAATAATGTTCTTTTTTTATGTATATATATTAAAAAAAAAAAAGGTTCTGACATAATCCAAATTTTTATAAGCTATCTTGTCTAGTTAGTCAGCCAAAATAAGTGCATCATCCTGTTTATTTTGATTGTATTGGCGTGGATAGGAAGGAAGAGAAGTCAGCTATGGAGAAGATGTGATTAAATCATGTTTTTTGAATGCATTGCTTCATATTCATCTGCTCTTAACTTTGTAAGCAGTTAGGCTATTAATGTTGGAGTTTGATGGATGACTGATGTTATGTTTGAAAAAGAAAGATACAAGTTGCAGCCTGCGGTTAATATTTTAGTCATAATCTTATCAATGGTACTAACAAGACTCGAATTTTGGATAAAAATTAACCAACCAGTGTTCAGAAACAAGATAGATCAAGATATATTTGATGTCATCTGATGGCTAAATGCATGTCTGCTGAGGGCTTTGGAATCAAATTCCTATCCAAATTTGCAGTTCTGATTCATCATGAAGAAGATTTAGAAGTGTGGAATCAAAAAACTCCAAGAGAATGAGATCAGAAAACTGATGCAGATAAGGAAGGAAACAGTAGTAAAGGTGTCCTGTACATCATCTTGTTGGTTAGTATGCACAATTCTTGGAGAAGGGACAAAGCTAGCTAGCTAAATGGGCCAAAGGGTTTGAATTCAGGCTTCATTGTTCAATGGCCCGGACCCTACACCCAAGAGAGAAGGGAGCTTGGAGATGCCTTGGCTAACAGGATTGAAAAGCAGAAATACTATTTTCACTCTCACCCTGATAGGGAGATAAACCATTTTATTTTTGTGGCATTTTGATGGCTGAAAGAGCATCATCAATAACAATTCATCATCCAGCTGGAGATTGCTCTATCAAGTGCTGAACTCATCAAATTCCCGGTATGTCAGATTCACTCTTCTAATCATCAATTGGCAGAGAGAAAGCAAGACTAATTCTCTTTCTGGCTTTTATATTAGCAGCCAGTGCTTCTAGATGAAAATAACATCACTGAGTCACTCTGCTCAATGAAAACGAGTTAGTGTTACATAGATTAATTACTTTAATATAACACACCGCTTTCATTTTCACTCATCCTTCTATGGGGGAGAAAAAGTAAGAACTTCCTACGTTCTTTTGTTCCACACTTGAAGCAACTTGGTGGAGGCTGATTTCCTTTATTAATTCTGTATTTTATTGAATCTTTAATAAAGTCAGGTTGTTATTTTTAAAATACTCATTTTAAATTTAAAAATGATGAATGATTCATGCTGTCTGTGAGAGAAAAGAAATAAAATAAAATAAATTTGTTTCTTCCTTACTGCTTTGAGGCCAAAATGAGTCTATGGCTATGTAATGTAAGTGCCACCTGCATCATATATAGTAGTTTACTATTTTGGTTTGAATGCAGTTGTACCTTACATCACATCACACTTTATTATAAATCCCAGAATCCACCTCAAGAATTTGAATCCAGAAATCGAACCTTCTATGATCTCAGTTTATATGTCATCTTGGGGTTTTTTAGAGAATTAAACCTTCATTGTCCTAACCATGAACCAATGATTGAAGCATTATTTTTCCTCAAGTGGTCCAAACTTAAA